AGGCGCCGAGCCTTAAATTTATTTTTCATTTAATTTTTTTTGAGCTATGTAGGAAGACCATGTCTCTTTACATTGAAGGACTGGCTTCTGTCTTGCCCCTGAGACTCTACTGGGTCCTTCCCCTTGCCTGGCCATGGCTCCCTTGTGTGTGGATTGAGACATTTGAGATGAAATGACCCCTAAGGCTCTAAGGCTCCCTCAGCCCTGTGTCAAGTCTGTCAACGGTAGCTTACTCACTCCTCAAACGTGGAGCTCCAGTCTGATGTGGGCAGCTGTCAACGCACTATGCCTGGGGCCTGAGCAAAGAGGGCTGATCAGACTGGGAGCAGTGAGCTCCAGGGTTGCCAAGCTGTGCAGCCAGGCCATGTGGCAAGTGTGCTGGGGGACTCAGACCTTGGATGACTGCTCTCCTCCAGCTCTGCAGCTCCTGCAGGGAGGGCATCCTTTTTGCTGCTGTAGCAGATGGTGGCAATTGCCTTCTCTGCCTGGGAGCCATGGCTGCCAGGCTTCCATATGCTCCCTGATGGGGAAAGACTTTATCATCTCAGGAAATTGCCCTCTGTTTGTTCAAAGGCTGTGCCACCAGACCCTTGGACCAAAGCTGAATGACAACTCCGCCTCCCTGATGCTTCCTTGGCCCATGAGCAGCAGTTGTGCCCTCTATTAGCTGGGCCTGGAAAGGCCGTGGCCTGGTGGAGTGAGTAGCTAAAGGGATAAAGCTCCTTCCACGGTCTGCAGGCACAGAGCCTGTGGCCCGAGGAATGGCAGAGCTGTCTGGAGGAGGCTCTTTTGGCTGCAAGTCTGAGAAAGAGAAATGCCAAGGTCTGCCTGGAGAGAAGCAGGAGGTGGCATGGAGGGTCTGACTAGATAAGAATGGGGAAGAACAGATGCTGGTGATTCCTTCCAGGCCTTTAGCAGGCAGGGTCTAGCAACTGGAAAAAAAAAAAAAAAAAGACATAAACTAACCAAACCTTGCCTATGTCAAAAGGGTGGGATTCCCTATACTAAGTGGCTCAAGTCCAAGGCTACTTCAGAGCATCTACCCTTCCTGTGAACAAATCCCTTTCCTTACCCTTGGGCTACAGTAGGCAGTCCCTGTGCCTGTGGGCCAGTGTAGCTCTCACCTCCTGGCACCTGCAGCTGCCTGGTGCACAAGCCATCCTTGCATTCCAGAAGCCTGCAGCCTGCCCGGTGTTGCTAAGGAACAGCTGGGCCTATAGGCTCTGGGCTCTCTGCCACCTTTAAGGCAGTGGCTATCCTCACTAGCCACTGGGCACCTATAACCCTCCTCTGCACAAGGCCAGGTCTGACAGTGGCTGTCAACTGTGCCCATGACGAGAACACAGTCTATCAGCTGTATCTCAATAGCAGGCATCCAGTGGCACCAGGCCCTGTTCACAGTCTGAGGGAGAAGGTTTATAAAACAACAGACAAAAACAAAAGAACAGTCCTCAAAGCTGAGGGCTAGACCTGCCTGATGTCTTTTTTGCCCAGAAATTAGAAAGCCCCTCTCAGCCCAGTGTCCCCATCAGCCTGCTGATCCCAGGCTCAGACCATCCCAGGGGAACCTCCTCATTGCCTGGCTACTGGGTATTTTATTCCTCCTCGAAAGTTTGAGAAACAGCCATTCCTGTCTTACTAGGATGGAGAATGCCCAGAGGCTAAGCAGCCGGTGCAGGGCCACACACCCACAAGCATCAAGGGAGGGATCCATGCCCTTGTGGGCCCTGGGCTCCTGTGTTCCCAGAGGTATGTCTCTCGTGGGGCGGCGTGGGAGGTGTCACCAAGCAGCCAGGCCTTTGCGCAGCCACACCCCTCTTCATTCCACAGATGAGAGCGAACGTTATTTATCTTCTGT